TATATATATATATATATAATTCACATTGAATTATTTAAAATTATTAAAAAAAATTTTTTTTAAATCCAGGTTCGACGGTATAGGCATTTAATTTCTAGTTTGTATTAATTTTTAAGAATTAGAAGTTAATTATAATTAATAAAAAGAGAGAGAGAGAGAGAGAGAGAGAGAGAGAGAGAGAGAGAATTCAATCAAAAATAATTATTAATAAAATTATATTAACATTAACATAATTATATTAAATTTAATATGTTTCAGCAATAAAGATTATCGTTAATATATTATTTTATTTTTCAGAATTAAGCATTATTTAATCAAGTATATTTAAGAATTAAGTATATTTAAGAATTTACTTAATCAAGTATTTATACATAATTCGATTTTGATCAAAAAATGATTACATTAACAAAATTATATAAATTAACATCGAATATTGCAGTAATAGAAATCTCGACGGGTGACTATGGTTTTGATTTGATCGAACAGATGATCACATGCGTTAACACGAAACTACCGTTACTTCCAATTTTACGATCAAAAAGCGAGTTTGAATTTGATAAAAAGAATCCGAAAATCTTATGGATCGATCAATTCGGCACGCTAGTGAAGAGAATGGTGATGCAGATTTGTCGAAACAGAGTAAGCTCAACTCATTTTGCATTCTTAGATAGTCAAGTCTGTCGAAAGCAAATTTTACAAAGCGTCTGCTACAAATTTTGTCGATAGGAATGTTAACAAAAATTAAAAAGTACCTACTGACAGATTTCCAAAACTGAGCAGAATCTGTATTATTTCATAATCATTTAAATGATATCTTAGAAGGTCATTTCGTAATTTATTAAAATGACAGATCGGCAATCTACTGTGAGATTATGTCGAATATTAGCAGAACAAGTTTAATATGAATATATTTGATGTCAATTTCTTACAATATTTTATTCAAATCTGTTAGTAAATTACTTAAGCCAAGAGAAAGTGAAAATATTATTTTTATGTCATAAAAATCAAAATGATGATTTTTTTTTTATTAGAAAATTTGATTGTATATTGACGTTAAAAATCAAAATAAAATCATTTTTAACAATTTTGATTGACTAGTACATCGATAACTAAATGATTTGTATCGTCTCAAGTATAAGAAATTATATTTGAATACAAAGAAAATATGTAGACATTCTTAAGACAATTAACAAAATTTTAGATATTTGATCTCTTCTAAAACGGATTGCACACAAAGATAAGATTCCTCTGAATGTTTACAGAATTACATGTACCTGAAGATATTGCTACACATCTTTCTGGGGATAGTAATTGGCGGATTGTTTTTTAATATGGGCAACGACGGTACCAAGGCTCTCTTCAATTTCGGCTTTTGCTTCGCATGCCTGATATTTTTTCTGTACATACCCATGTTACCGGTGCTGTTGCAATGTAAGGAAAAATTCTTTTCTACACATAGAAAATTAGATGCACAAGAAAATAAAAAGTTTGCTGATTAATTAAAATCTTATCTATCAATATATTTATTTAAGAAAACGCATTCGTCATACAGTCACATAAAGACTATGACACACAAAAGAATGTAAGGCAATAAGATTTTAAACAATAAACGAAAGAACTAATCAAAGCAGAGAAGTAATATAAGCAGTTGATTTGTTTATTACGTTTTACTTACGTTTTACTATTTAAACTTTTTTGGATATTATACTCTTAATATTTATATTATCATAAATATTATATAAAGACTGACATACAAAAAAATTTAAATAATAATACTTATTAACGCTATAATTATAAAAATTAAATGTCTTCCTAAAAATGCTATTGTTTGTAAAGACACAGAAATAATCAAAATGCATTATTTTAAAAAATCAACTTGAAAATCATATCTTATCGTTATTTATTATTTTCTCATTACAGTTCCTTTAGAAATCCAGATAATGAAACGGGAACACTTTAACAGATGGTACGACCTTAGTGCGTATTATTGGGCCTTAACAATAGTCAATATACCTATACAGGTTGGTTTTCTGTAAAATTGCTTTTACATTTCATATAGTAAAATTCGTTTCTTTGACGGCACTATAATCCAAATCAAGTCTTAATCTCCTCGAGAAAAATCATTCTTATATAGATTCTGATTTCCTTGCTTTTATAATTGCAATTTTTATGGAAAGGGTTTAAACTTTTCATTATTATAAATTAAAATATTAAATCTTCAGCTTAATCCCATCTGTGTGTTTATCTATTCAAACATTTTAAAAATCATTCTTATTTCTTTCCCAGTTAGGTTTCGCAGTTTTATATCTCTTAATGGTCTACTTCATTACGGGACAACCTCTGGAGTTGCACAGAAGCTCCATGTTCTTTAGTACTTGCTTCATATGTGCCTTCATCGCGGAAAGTATAGGATACAACATCGCTAGTGTGTTTAACGCTGTGGTACGTTCGAGATTGCATCGCGAAAAGAAAAGCTCTTAAAAATCAATAAATAATCTGTTCGTTTTATCTTTTCAGAATAGTATATTCGCCGGACCTGCGTTAACTTGTCCGTTAATGTTAATCGCAGTGCAAGATTTCGGTGATCCGAGGCCTCTACCTCTCTATCGTACGATTCCTATGTACATGAGTTACATTCGGTATGGATTGGAAGCTCTCACAACAGCCATGTACGGTCACGGTAGACAGAGACTATATTGTCCGCCAGAGGAAATTTACTGTCATTTTAGCTCGCCTAAGGAAATCTTGCGAATTATAGGTAGAATTCTAATTTTTTCTGAAACTCGAAAGTTGCTTAATCACTCTAATAATTATTACTGCATATCGCGCACACGATTTTTTGCAGGGAATAAAAAAGAGTTACTATTTCGTTATTTTTTATAATAACAAAATGATGTTGCAATTTTTTATGATTATAATTAATGATAACTAACTAAACTGAGATTGCGCTAAGGGAAAGTCACTTTAAAAAATAACTTGCATCATTATGTGCTTATTTACTGAAAAAGATCATTTATAACAAGTAACGTTACAAGTAATGATTAAAAAGTAACAAATTACAATTAATTGTTTCAGTAACGATTTCCAATTCGTTACAAGTAACAATTGAATGACTTTCCAACCTTGATGTTATCGTTACATTTTTACACTCTTAGAAAAAATTCATCATTACTAAATCATTATCATAACGATAAGAAATGTAACGGCGTTATAAGTAATTAATTCCATTCCCTGGTTTTCTGAAAGCTTTGTATCTCGATAATAATCGTCTAAAATGTTTAGCGTATAAATGTCTAAAATGTTTAACAAATTTGTCTGCATTTCAGGGCAAGAAACACCTCCAAATTTCTGGTTGGATCTAACTGCTCTCTTCGTCATTTTATTTATTTCTAGAGGAATCTTATATTATTTACTGAAGCAAAGGGTGCAACCAAACAGAACTTTCCAGATGTTTCAAATAATTGGAAGACTCATCAAACGTAATTTCATATGATCGTTAATTATATGTTTTATTTTCGTTTGTATCGAGATGTGTCGACATTATACACTCGATACTCTTTAAGCAAATAAAATGTATTCTAGAAATATACATCTAATATGTATTTTGAAATTGTATGACGACAGCACTAAATTGCCGATACAACGATATGTCAAAAGTGATATTAATTATAAAAAAGAAAAAAATAGAATAATTTGTAATAATGAAATAGATAAATCATTGTATAATAAAAAATTAATTGAATCCTTTTATTTCGGTTTCTATATCATCAAAATTAAAATATTGTATTTTGTTTCGAAGAATAACTAAAGATATTTCTATAAAAAAAAAATTTATGTTACTATGACTGTGTTCTAAAATTTACTGTCAATACTAAAAATCTATAGTGCATATAATGTAAACTATAGATTTTTAGTACTGGCAGTAAATTTTGGAACAGTCTATATTAAAGCTCCTGAGTAGTCGCGGCGGTCATATTGGAATCATGATGTCATAAACGAGAAATGGTGATTTTTCTTGTGTGCCATTTATAAATAAAAAGAAATTGGATAAAATGAATAATGAGATCGCTTAAAAAAAGTTATGAAAATTGAAAACTCTCCTTATTTCCCTTCACAATCAATAAATAATTATAAAAGGCATGTAAAGTGAACGCTTTTTCAGTAGAAAACACAGGACAGCTGTCGCAGTGAAAAATATGTTTTTACGTATAAAATTCCAAGATAACTTGAGTCTTTTTTCATTTTTACGACTTTGATAAGTACGAGAGAAGTCATAGTTTCACAAATAAGCACTTAATAATGAAATGGCAAGTAAGAAAAAAATTTCGAACACATTTTTCATGCTTATAAGTTCAACCAGTTATCGTGGCACTGCAGTCTAAAACTTTTAATTCGGATAGATATTCGGATTTCCAAAATCGATTCCGGTTCAAGAACACAAATCCGTATTATTCGGGTAATCCAGATATCCGAATTATTCGGATTCGCGGAATTTGGATCTGGATCTAAATTCAGATTCGGATTTAAATTTGGCTCCAGATTTAAATCTATGTCCAGAAAGAAAGAAAACATTGATGTATTTGATGAATTTTAACATAAGTTTCTTTTTAAATAAAAATTGAATTTTGATTCACATAATTGAAAAAAAAATAAATTAAAAATATAAATATAGATTCATACAGAATTATTCAAGTACTAAAATTCAGCTAGACCGTTTAAAGCATTTGTTTCTATAGATTTGTTTCTATAATATGTACAATATTTCTCACATACGTCCTATGAAATTTAATAGTGTAATTTATAAATAGAAATGTTTTTTTGTTTTTTAAAAACAGATTCTCAATCTTAATAGTAATAACAAAGATGTACTAAGTCAATAAGAGAAATATTTGTATTTTTCACTTTTACACTTAAATTAAATAAGTATATAATATAATGACTTTAATATGCAATCCGCACTAATGCACCCAACTGAACTCGCTATAAGTTTACTACAAATCCAGAATCTGAGAACCGGATCTGATTTCGACTTTTACTTTATCGGATCAAGATTCGGATATCTTAGAAAATTCAAATCTTCAGATAACCCGAATTTGAAGCATCAATTTATTCATAATTCGGATAAACGGATATCCTAATAACTTTAAATCCGAATCTTGAAGCCCTAACATATACACAAGCACGAGTCCACGTACATGTACTCACTTTCGGCGTATCGAGAGCACATTTACATGGGTTGTGTGCGACGACATAAAATCGGACATTGGTGTGGCTACCTTCTGATTTTATATCGTCACTGTCAATGCAAAGTTCTGAGTACTCAAGAGAGTACTCAACTTAAAACATTAAATTAAATTTAATTTTATATAAAACTCAAAATTTGTATTGTAACACCGATTATGTAAAATATAAAAAATGATTTCACTGAAAAACAATTATGAAATATTGGGTTGGCAAGGAAATAATTGCGTTTTTTTAGCTCAAAATTGTATATACAATAATGAATGAAATTTAAATTTAAAAAAAAAGTTTTAAAGCTTGAAATCTCTACTTTTAAAAGCTTACTACATTTTTTTAAATTTATATGAGTTTGGTAATTTTTACATACCAAAAACTACGAGCTGAAAAAGACGGAAAATTTTTTTCTCACTTTGTGGATTTGTAATGTACTCAAAACAAATTTGAGAAAATTTTCGATTACCTATCGTGAAAGCTTGCTACTTTCCCTACAAAATCGTTTTTTTAAATATTTCTATTATTAAATATTTCTATTGCTTTTTGGTTACTGACTTATCGCGGATTAAATAAAAAGATTATTTTGACTTTAATTGCTCATAACTCCGTTAAAAATTGTCATATCGCAATTTAAAAAAGAGATTCTTAAAGCTGAAACTTTACTGTCAAGATATTTATTGAATGAATATTGGTTAGTAAGAAAGTAATCGCGGTTTTTACTAGATTTAAAAAAAACGCAATTACAATCCAACCCAATGTAATGAAAGGAGATGGCAATGTCACCTAATGCCCTTGGTTATGTCTTTATATTACACGCCTATTCGATTACAAGATTTATTAGAATTTTTTCCAAGTATCTTGCTTGGCATAGCTATTTATACAGCTATTTTAATAGATATTTAATAAATGCTATTTATCTTTGGACACGCGTCATAGATAATATCAGGCGATAAATGTAGATAGAGATAGACAATGTTAAATGATGAATGCGCAGCTATCGTGTACATTAATTCCAGCAAATTTTCATTCACTCACATTATTCAATATAAAAAAATAAAATTTTTAATAAAATATAATTATATCCTTACACTCTCTTTAAATTGGGCCGTAATTATTTTTCAAACAGAAAATAATTATAAATGTATAAAAATAATTAGAAATAATTATTATTCCGATTATTTAACGCGATAGATTATAAGAGATACATTGGAAATCATTTAAAATTTATTGTACAAGCTTAACAAATGTTTTATAAATAGTAATTATATTTAATTAACGCTCGTAATAAGAAATATACTATTTATGATTACATATGTGGCAGAAAATATAGGTTTCATGATGTAGCTGTTCAAACCGTCAATATCAAGATCAGATAGAAAATGCCATCTGCTGCGGACAATGTAAAGAACGGTAAAGATAGTGGTGGGAAAAAAGTAGTGGGAGAATTAAGTGCCATTAATTCCGTTGCTTCCCAGGTCAGTCTCCATTCTCTCTCTTTTCGCACAGAATGGTTTCTTCCTTCAACAGAATGTGCAAGTACAACATAATATCATGTATTGTCTTGTTTTATCTACTGTGCGTCACACATGGGTGAGTATATCGTGATGAAGGCAACAAAATGAATTGTTTGAAATTATTGTATCAATAACTATCAATATTATATCACTAACTATCAATATTAACTAACTTGTTTGGTCAACACACCGATAAATGAAGAATTAAATATTTAATAATAGGCATAATCTCGATTAATAATTATAATATTAATAATCGATTAATAATTATAATATTAATAATCAATGATTTTTAATGATGATTAATCAATTTTTGTTTAAGTTTTGAAGGTCGACGGATAAGATTATTTATCTGCACCTCGATGTTATAATTGAAGCGTAATTGATTTACAATCGCGAGTGTTACATTACAATCGTTTTTTTTAGAAGTAATCAATTATATCTATCAAATGAAGATAAATTGTTGTAACGTTAGTACACCTGCAGTGCATGTGGCACGCAGATGTTAACAAATTATTAACGCATGTTTTAATACTAAAAAAATTCTGGTGATTTTATCGATATTTTATCGACATAACACATACGTATATAACTTCCAATTATTTCAATTGATTACATCACACGCAAAAGCGAACTATTCTTTAGTTCAATCAAAGAGATCGTGAATGTTCCAATCATCATTTTATAGCGTTTTTCACTGGCAGAACTAGTTCACATTCAGTGTACATTAAAGCTATTGTACTGTTACTTAATTTGAATGTAAAAGTGAGATATCTCAATTAATAAAATACCCAATGTATATTTGATCAAATAGCACAATAAAATGTATTGAAGATTTCGCGGTTTAATTCGTTTCTATATTTTTATTAAATGTACATCTTTATATCGATTTATATATATATAACGGCTTTAAAGTACACTGAATGCGTACCAGCTGTGCCAGTGAAAAACGTTATTAGTATATTTTTCTGATAGAAGATCTGAATCAATACATTATGATTTTCAATTTCAAAATATAATTTTAATCACTTAAACGGCATTCTATAAATGATGTAGATTGTAATTTAAAATTGTAACTTTTATTTCATTTAACTTTAATAGGAAATGGATCGAATGGAAAACAAACGTAAAATCCAATGAATTTGATGTCCTGATATTTACTCAGCGATGGCCATTGACAGTTTGTTTCGAATGGGAAAATAAGTCGCTAAACAGCACGCACAGATGCGTGTTACCAAAACGTAACAAGTGGACCATTCATGGAATTTGGCCTACAAAATATAATGAAATAGGTCCGCAATTTTGTAACAGGTCGTTATCATTTGATTCAAAAACTCTAGCACCCGTAGAAGAAGCATTAAAAGAAAATTGGATCGATATACAGAAAGGATCTAAACCTTATTCGTTCTGGAAACACGAATGGGATAAACACGGCACTTGTGCAATCTCAGTACGAGATTTAAACAATGAATTGAAATATTTTCGAACAGGTTTAAAATTACTCGACAGGTACAATATGATAGACGTACTTGCAAAAACAAATATCTTGCCAGGTAACAAATATACGGTACAAAATTACTTAACGGGAATTCAAAAGATATTAAATAAAAGGGGACAAGTAATGTGTGTGGTTGACCAGGTAAGTTCAAAAATTGTTCCAATATGGATAAACGTCGTTTTGAATAGTTTCTTTTCGGATATGAAAACTATCAATATAAAAAAAAAAAACATAATAGTAAACATAAGTTTTTACTACAAACGTACTTTACTTTTTTCCAGAAAACGAAAAATTCATATGTGAACGAGATAAGAATTTGTTTTAACAAGGCATTACAACTGGTAGACTGTGATGGCATATATCATTTTCCTACCAACTGTAATAGATCCCAACAAATAATATATCCTAATATCGTACCACGTCATCATATATATAACGTAAAACTGATATAATGGTAAACTTAAAAGCATAATATTTATATGCAAGCTAGATAAAATTATATAAATATTATATTACATATACGACATACAGATCAATTTCAAAATAATTTATCATGACAAAAAACTAACAACAAATATTTGCGAGTTAAACAATGTAATTTTTAGTATTCTTAATCCATATTTAAAAAATATTAAAAGTATCAATATTTAAGTAATATTAGGAATATATTTCAGATTAAAGTGTCGTCTATAAAATAATTAAAATAATTATTAGATTAAATAATACTTGTATTATGCACGATTCAAAAAATACGAAAAGAGCTTCGGTTGAAAATTTAAATATTAATGCATTAACAAGTTTTAAACTGTTCATCATTTAATTTTTAATCGTAATGTTATTTTTTTTAAATGCAATAAATATTCACTGTTAAGAAAGAAACAGACTATACAGAAATCAGTTTCAAAAAAGAAATTCGTATATCACATACGAGTTTATCATTTATAATAAAGAATATCATTATATTAGAGTGAATGTCTTATAATTAATTTGTATGATAATATACATTAGCATTTTTGCTTACAAATTAGGGCATTACTGGCTACATCATTCCGCCTTCTTCTGAACGATCACAACTGCTGAGGGTACTAGGCCTGCAAGTAAAAGAAGTGCCATATCTTCAGGAAAAGTTTTTATATACTAAATATGTTAAATATAATCATAACAATGAATTATTAAATTACAGCTGATAAAATTGCATAATTAATTAATAGAATGCACTCCTTGCATCAATAAGCAATAATAGAAATTATTATAAGTTGGAAATGTAGATATATAACAATAAATTATCAATACAGCATACCTAATACATCCAATGGCGTATCATAATCCTCGTCCGTAAACACTTTTTTGGGAAACGTGGTCATCAGTTGGAAGGGACCATTATCATCTGTCCTATTCATTTCAATAAACAGTCTCACTGCAGACAATTGTTCCTTGCTTCCAAAGCTTTGGGTCAAGGTTTGTCCATTGGTCAGCCTAAGCTAAAATGTAATTGTTTGAAGAATACATGGTCTACATATTTTTTACTTATTTCATATGCATTTTATATTATATACCTGAAGCCTGGTTTCGGTGTAATCCTTCCTATGATGCGTAGACGTAGATGAAGGTATTGCGGATAATGAGACTGAAGTTGTATTAACCATTTGATTGCTTTCTGCAGCTGCTTTAGCTCGTCTTGCTGCTTTATCGGCTTCGATTTGTGCTCGAACTCTTTGCCTTGCCTCTTTTTCTTCCGCCTTCTCTCGTTTTCTTTGCTCTAGAAGCTTCTGCATCTCTAATTCTTCCAACCTATTACACATATATAAATAAAATATAGATTTGCTCTTTCTATTTCAATTTCGTTACTTTATTCCTTACTTTTTCCTGGCCTCGGACATTTCCTTTCCCGATCGTATCCTATTCTTTTCTCTTTCAAATGCATTTTTCTTTTCTTGCTCCTCTCTCTCCTTTCTCTTTTGCCTCAACTTTTCCTCCAACATCTTCAATTGTTCCCGCTTCTCTTCTTCAGTCAACGGCTTCTTCTCCTCTGTGCTTTCAGAAAATCTATCGTGTCCAGACTTTGTGGCATGAAATTCAACTTCTAAGTTAGATTTGAAGAGTTTTCCACATCTACAAAGACATTTTGAAAAGAATAGGTATACTTATTGGAAGTTGAGATAGGACTATCCTTCTAGATCCAATTAACGCGAAGAAAATTTTTTTTGAAACAACTGCAAAGTAAACATTTCTTTTATACGTGATAGTGATACTGATATTCCATACAAAAGCGTAACGCAACAATCTCGATGCTTAAAGGAGTATTTATTTCAACATTTGATCGTGCTCCAATACACTGTCAATACTAATAATCTATACTTCAAGTATATTATATTTTCTAAATTTTTTGGTATAGAATTTCACTAGAAGAATAAAAATTAAGTTAATTTAAAAAAAGAGCATCTCAATTTTTAATCTTTAAGAGTGAGATTTGTTTTAAAAGTTTTAGAAAATAAGTTTTCAATAATTTTGGCAATGTCTATCTGAACACAGAGCCTTACAGCGTTTTTCTACTGAGAAAATTAATGCAACTGAATGCAAATCGATATATCCGATTTAATTACATATTCTCTATTATCATGATAATCTCATAACTTTGAAAGGATTAAATCATTTATTAACTGAAAATATTAATTATTTTGTACTCGTACATCAATATTGCACTAGTTTTCTCAGTGGAAAACTCTATTAGAGTCTTATCCTTGCAATTCATCAACATACACGTCGCACTTCATAGACTTTGCCGATTCAGTCGTGGAAACTGGTTGACTGCTAGCACCTGCGACGTTGTCTTGCGAGTCGGTAGACAGCGTCGGAGCACTCTCGCCTACGGCTGGTCCTGGTTCAGCCTCATCCGAATGGGCCAATAGCCTACAATAACAAATCGATAGCATCACAACGCGACGAGAATTATAATAGCAATGTCTTCATACCATTCCATAGCCGGCTCCACGCCTTTGTTACCGGTTATCTCCAAGGCCTTCTCGCTGTAACAAAACCGTCAAATCGTCAACATAGGTTATGATTCGACGATGCGACGTTTATCTACGAACTTACGCCTTGGACATGCTGAAACCCATGTCCACGAGGATGTCTATCACGCCTGACGACATTTCGCGCTGCTCGCTGCCGCGTTCGGCGAATGTACCACCTTGAAAAAGTCGTTCTGGCCGAACACAATCGTCCAAAAGTTATATGTCACGTCGAATCGACGCGGTACTTGCACTCCCAACTACTCAAAGTGATTCCAAATTCCAACGCAGGCCCGATCGCTTGCGAGATGGCGACAGGTTCACGAGCGTCAATTTTAAATTAGAGAACTGTTTAATAATATTCCGCAAAAAATACAAATACAAAATAATATTTACATCTTCCGTTAATAACGGCAGATAATAAAATTGCAATGAGAGATTCAATCTTTTCATTTACGGCTGTTATTATAAATGTACAAAAGATATCTGACAACAGAATGTGTAATGTTAAAAGTTGTAGGTCTTTCTATAACGAAGTTTTATTTTCATATATTTAAATGAGGATTACACGCATCTGCGAATTGAATTTCACATAGGGACGCAATGCTATTTATTTTTGCATCAATATCGTTTACATTTAACAAAAACATTCAAGCATTAATACAATCTTTCAATCAAATCTTCATTAATAGGATATACAGGTAGAATCAGAATAAAATTAATGAGGCTAAAGCCTAAAATTAGAATAAAGGAATAAAAGAGAAATGTATTTGCGTGTAGGAAATATGTATAACAGTAGCATTTAATTAAATAAGATAAAATTGAATCATAAATAAAACATAATTCATTAATAATTACGTAATCTTTAAATTAAAACAGAAATTTTGGATTACTGTTCTAATCGAAACATAATTATCAAATATACCTTAAGATGACAATTATTAATTAAATAAAATACTTTCAATGTATCCGTTGATAACAGATAGGATTTAGCAGAGAACATAAGAATCGAACCGGTAATACCTAACTCCATATAAACGCAATAAAAATTCGCTTGCAAGTGACGTAAATTAAAATAAAAGATAGAGAAAAAAGAACAGATCTTAATTCGTGAAAATTGATGGAATAATAAAGAAATCAATATGATAATGTAATGGCTAAGCATTCAGCAGAGAAAATAGCTTTGCAATTATAAAATTCTTTAATACGATTGATTTATATTTAGTTTCAGTGAGAAACTAAAAGCAAAGCCAAATCATATCAAAGCATTTAATAGCAAAACTGCTTTCTTTGCTGAACGTAACCGATGTTTGTTATCAATCTCCATAATTTTTTATCGTCAACCATGTAAAACCAGCCCTGTTGCACAGATTTGTAAGGACATTCGTTCCTTTTCCTCCGGTTTTGCGAAATAAAGGCATGTCTCTAGAATTACGGTTAAAGTTATAAACGTGTAATAATCTAATATTCCTGCGACGCCTTGTCGCCCTTTCCAGAGCCACCAGTACCGGTCTTCTTCGGCAGCAGAACCGCTTGGATATTAGGCAGGACTCCACCTTGAGCAATGGTCACTCCAGACAATAATTTGTTCAATTCTTCGTCATTGCGAATGGCCAGTTGCAAGTGGCGTGGAATTATCCTGTAGAAGATGAGTATTTATACACAATTTGAACGAAATATATGGAAAAAAATCCACGGTAAGCATTACAGAAGATTGTCACAAATTCCTCATCTTAAAATTCTATAATTTTTCCAGACAAAATTTTGGATTTTCTTTGATTTTCAATATTTTGAATTTTTTGTATCTTCGCTGATTTAGAAACATTAAATATTTTGTTGAAAAAGCAATATAAATTATGGGTGATATATATACCAATATTGAACTTTTTTACCAGATAAGAATTTTAATTTTCCAGAAAATTCTGCGAAATTTCCAAACTTTTACTGACTTTCTTGACCATTTTCAATTTCTCTAACATTTCTCAGATTTTTTATTTCTAGTTTTGTGGTAACTCTGTATTAAAATAATGTAGAATTTTTCTATGTTTTTATGAGAACAAGAAAACAAATCATTACACTTAGTCTACAATCAAAATAATAGCCATATAAATTTTATAATCTCCTTCTTATAATATAAACAAAATAAAAGTTTTTTTACTCTTTGCTTCCTGCTTACATTTAGCCTCTTCCTTTCTTTTACGATCACTTTATCAACAATCATGTTTCTTGCCTAGAGTTGCCATATCAAAATTTTCAAAACTAGAATAACTTACAGGCTAAAAACTCTGAATATTTCACTTGAAATTCTGGACATATAAGAATATGTAGATTAGTAAAATTGATCAAAATTAAACGAATAATTATTTCACATTTAATTATTCATTAGTGATACTAATTTAATGTAAAAAATTGACCAATCATATTATTCTCCTCACATTCAACTGTGATTAATCAGTTTCTTATAGCTTAAGGATTACCTATTAAATCACTATAATATAAAATAACGAGGAAGTCAAAGTAAAAAATTTCCAAAGTTCCTAAAATCTCTATAATTATCTTTAAAAAAAGGGTAGTATCCAGGAAAAAGAGAAAAAATGAATGGCGACTATTCTTGCTATGTGTTTCTCGTCTCTCTTCCCAAGTTTGTTAATTTTTTATTTCAGGCAACAGAAAACAAAGAGGATAAAAGACAAACAAACAAAGATAAAAAGTAATTAAAAACAATTAACAGAAAACAAAAGAACATATTATAGATTAGGCTTTTATCTTATATATTCAAATAAGCTAAGCAATCCATGTTGGCTAAGGTTAAAATACGAAACATGCCAACATCCAACAGTTAGTTTGTAAAAATTCAAAAAGCGAATCTAGAATAGTAAACAAAATTTTTCTGAGATAAACGAACGAGATAAAACCTCACGTTTAAACAGTATTAATATATTTCTATGCAACAAAATAACGCTAAGAATGATAGAGAATTAATTTCCTTAAAATCAAGTTGGTTAACGGCGAAGATCTATATTCCCTCCGTACTACGCCTAGAGTCGAGGGTGTGAAGGAAACCGAGCGAGACGCAGACACGAGATAGAAACAGGAAGTCGCAACGAGAGAGACGGAACGAGAGAAAGCGCGCGCGCGCGTGAGAGAGAAAGAGAATTGAGGAAGGGCTTGCCTAGTCTTTTTGTTGTCCCTGGCAGCATTTCCAGCCAATTCGAGCACTTCGGCCGCCAGATACTCCATCACGGCGGCGAGATAAACGGGAGCACCGGCACCAACGCGTTCCGCGTAGTTGCCTTTCCTGAGAAGACGATGAATTCTTCCCACAGGGAACTGCAGCCCGGCCCTGCTGCTACGGGTCTTCGCCTTTCCCTTGGTCTTACCTGGAAAAAAGACACGCGCGAGGAGTGTCGTCGTCGTCGTCGCCCGGCCCCGCGATTTCCCTTTTCCCAGCTTCTTTTTTTCTCCTCCCTTTTCATTTCTTACTCACCACCTTTGCCGCGTCCAGACATGTCTTGCCGTTAAATCAAGTACGTTTGCTTATTCCTTGCACGAGGGAGGAACGGGGAGGAAGTGCGACTGCGAGATAGATAGGAAGATGCGCTCGGAATCGTGCTGACACGCCAACACCGAACGCTGAAAGCCGAATGAAGTCCAATGAAGCCGCGGCCCGCGCAACCATGATGATAGTGCGCATGCACGTCAGATATTTTGGCGCCGATCGCTCGTTTGCGCGGGAACCCGGGAACAGCCGACGATCGCGAGACATTTCCCGCGCTCGAAAGTCCCTGCGATAAATTCCTCTTTTTCGAATCACTAGACAGGATTCGGCGCGAATTTAAACAAATGTTCACGTTAACATTTCGAGTCCTTTTGTGCTCGACGAGGTGTACAATTTTACTGCAAATGATTTACTCTATAAATTGAACAAATCCAAGTTTGGTCAAAGTTTTTTAACAGAAATTTTTATTTAAATTAAATTTTATTAAAAATTTTTTTTTTTCTGTCATTTTTTTCTTTGGTTACATGAAAACTTTTTATTTAGATTTTTATTATCTTTATTATCCGTTTCTATCAATATAGATTAATTTTTTAATCTTTATTCAATTTGTAATAAATTTGATTAAACTCATAGTGTGCATTGGTGCATACTGAAACTGTTATATATGCATTTAATCTGTGTAAACGTGAACTGTAAATATTTCATATTTTACTTAACAACACAATAAAATGTATGGAGAATTTCATGATTTAATCTGTGTTTCTATATTTACATTAAACACACATTTTTACATTAATAAGTTTGTTCGCGTTGCTTAAAATTCTCAAAAATTTTTGCATTTAAAATAAATATATTCGGACGTTGAAAAGAAAGGAAGCTAAGATACTAAGTACAAAAAGTGCAAGCAATGTGAACAGAATACGACACAGCTTAATATGCACCAATGTGCACAGAATGCATTAAATCGAATTCGCTATTACTCTTCGATTGATTATAATCGACAAACTACATATTTACAATCGATATATCGAATTAAAAAATATATCTATATCTATAATTATATAAAAATATATATCTATAATTATTTACAATTGCGTTCAACATCGAGTTCTTTATATATAACCCAGTAACAAAAAGTATTTAAAATCGGATCACAAGACGTTTTTTGCGGCTAAAAGACGACTAAAAGATATAAAGTCTTATGTCACAATTTGTGTTGTTTAGGAAGCTAAAAGACTAATACAAGACTAACAATTATCTTTTTCTAAGTCTTCGAGTCTAGAAAAAGATGAAGAGTAAGTTGAATTAAGATTAAAGTTAATCTATGTTAGAAACGGACATAGAACAAAGAGATAAAATTTTAGAGCATAGACAATGTTTAATTCTCTAATAGTCTTAGGAGGAAATCAAATATGCAACATCTTCAGAGATATATAAATGTCAATTATTGCGAAACCTTTTTGTCCTCGATTGCTTATAATCGACGGACCGCACATTTACAATTGAGTCGATACATCGAATTAAAAAAATATACATATGTCTATAATTGTTTACAATTGTCTACAGCGCGTAGCGTCGAGTCCCTTAAGGCTAAACTAAGACTTATGCAAGACTAGTGATCATTTTGTTGTTAAAAATCTACAATAGTTCCAGTAAATTCAAATTTATCTGTCCGATTGTTTCATCAGAGTGCCACAAATTCTTCGTCCTAAAATTTCATAACTTTTCCTTGATTTCCGAACAAAATTTCATCTTCCCTGACTTTTTAATATTTTGAAATTTTTTGTACTTTCATTCTGATTTGAAAACTGTTAAATTAATTTATTAAGGAAGCAATTTGACATAGCAATGTAAATTATAATACTATTAATATTATTCACACTGCTTGCATTTAATTATTAAGTTGGTAGTATTCTAAAACAGCATAAGTGTGATATACATACGCACATCAAACTTCTTTAAAACCAAGAATTTTTAACAAAATTTCTTGACTTTTTTCTGATTTTTCTGCACGTTTTTCAATTTCCCTGATATTTTCCTGATTTCGAGTGTCTGTGACAACCCTATTTTTTTTACAAAAATCTCGTTTGGGATAGCTATTTTCAATAGAATCTTTAGTTGTCCTCATGAAGTTAGAAACGATAATGACACTAGTAATACAAGTCCACTGTCGTTGAATTAATAATATTCGAATTGTGCGACACAGAGATACTATTTTTAGAACATAACTTTTACAATGTTATCTAAAGGCTTCCATTAAAATTGACCATACTGATCAGCATACTGGCTTCGTTTTTCATCTTTATGAAGAAGTCAGTATGGTGATTGCATAATTAATTTAATAGTTTTATCTTGTTCAGACAATTTCCTGTTCTAAATTGCTATCATAATTATTCTCTTGCAAATCTCGGGACTTGTAAAACTTATTTGCATTGTCGTTATGCTTACGCTAGTGACTTAACAACAACTGTTAACATATTTTGTTTTCTTTTATCGAAAATTAGAATTTCCAATCCCATGGCACACAAAAAACACCATCGCTCATAACAGAATAATAATGAGTAACCCAGAGCATGACGCCCTCAAGCGATGGTGCCAGATCCTTTTTGTGTAGAAGCAGCTGTTTGCAGCATTGTATCATAAGATCCGGTGTAATGCTGTCGTCCTTGTTAAGAGCAGCTAAACCTAACTCTTTGATAGTCTTATGATGAAGTTCCCGTTCCACATGCTTTATGCTGCAAATGCGCACAAGTAGTAGATAATAATATTTATATTAATCTCAGTTCAATTAAAAATCTGAGATGTCTTACTTGTTATAATGATATAGTCTTTTCGTAGCCTCCTCTAAGTTTTCCGTAATAAAATTCACCAAAAGAAAACTTGGACAAGACGATGGTACAATAAATTGTCCAGTCGGTGATAACATCAAAGGACCTGCTTCGCTACAAGATCATAAATCGTATTGAGCCACTTGCACAAAATTTAAAATCATCCATAAGCAACGATATTTAAATAGCAATACTAACGCTTCGATGACAATTTCGTAGGCTGATAGACTGGCCGGCCACGAACTCGGATATTTTCTTTTGCCACGATAATCTGAGAGCGTGGTTGTGAGTTGTCGCAGCTGTTGCTCATACTGGCCGACCATTACCTTAGGCATGAATTTCCTGCACATATAGAGCACCCTGAGCCTTACCATAACTCAAATAATATGATGTATTACGCACCGTCGACCAACTTTAATATCGAGGAGTACTTGGGAGACTGCCTTCTCAAACGCTGGCAATTTCAACAATACAGCATCATGCTTTTTTACATTCTTTATTAACTATAAACAACAAAAGAGTTTAATATTTATATAGAATATTTATATGGATATAGATCAGGTAATCAGCTTATTTTCAACTTACGTCGAGCCAATTGTGCCTGACTTCCCCAGAATTTAGCATAACATTGCCTTCTAAACTGATACCAGTATCATTTGCAAACACGAGAGTGCGATTCCTCAATACTTCCATCGATTCCGGGTGATGCTCGGCTAATGCTTGAAAGGCTAATAAACAGCCGCGATAATGAGCGATATTCCAACCACAGTCCCATATGATATCCTTTAGACCCAACACACTGCATAGTACTTTCTCCAATTTCTCCACCTCGTCTCTCACTGGTCTGCATGCCTCCAGTTTAACATGTACTTCATTGATGTGCTTATCTATATACGCTCTAATCAGAAACACGCAAGAACGAATATAATGGCAATATTTAGTATTTAATGCATATCTCAATATTATATTTACTTCAATGTATCTGGCTCTGCATTAATCTTGCGTTTCATAATAATCGACGCATAAATAGGATCCTCTTCCAATTCCGAAAAGTCTATCCTTTCTCCAGAATATGCTCGTTGCCAAAATCTGGATTTGTGCTTTGTGATAGAAGGTTTCTGTTCCTCTATTTTATCAACAAACGTCGTGGGTAGATCGCATGTTTTTAAAATGGAAAGTATCGCTTGCCTCAGATCCTTTTCTTTCAACTGTATTTTAACAAGCGTGAATTTACCAGCCTTCACATCTTTCTCATCCTTCGATCGCAAATAAAAAGGCAAAATGGTTGGCCGTATAGGTTGTTTTTGTTGTAAGGTTTCTAAGATTGAACTTAATTGCTTCAGAGAATTTTCATTCACTGTCTGTAAATAGCAAATTATAGATAATAATAACAGACATAACTTAGATAATACTTAATAGACGATTTGCACTAATTAAAGATGATTATATTATATAGATAGCATCTTGCTCATGAAAGAATATATATAAAACATATAACTGAAGAATGTTTAAAAATATAATTAATACTAATGTGTTTCTTGAATGAAGACAAAGATAAGAAAATGATAATGATATGTTTTTATGCAAGGTATACGTATTATAAAATCTTTAGTCAAATATTCTTTCATGAATGATATTAATGAGAAAGTGTAATACAAATAATGTATTTATATCTGATATATCTTGAATATGATAACGGAATATAATTGATAATAAATTGAAAAATAACAAATAAGTATTATATTGATTTTCATATCCAGATTGATTTAGAATATTCAGACGTTTTCTCCACACGATCTTTCAACGTTTGTGAACAATTTTTTATGCTCTGAGAAAATTTTCATTCGGCCTCTCAAGATCTTCTGATTTTTTATTATAATTTCTATTGCGTTTTTTTCCAAAGTTTATTATTAATTTTTTATATATTTGAAAATGGCTCAATCTAGCCAAAACATGCGAATTTTTATAATGAGATTTTAATTTGAATATTTATAAAGTGTAAAATATTTGTTTTTTTTTCTTTAATATATGTAACTATAATATTTAATTTTAATTTTATAATTATTTGATTCTTATTGCCCTGTCGAAACATTAACTTCGTTTTTAATTATAAGAGTTTTTTACTTTACTATATTGATTTCTACGTCCAGATTCTAATTTTGTTAGGAATGGATTTTGATCAAATCTCTTTTTATCTCTGTTGATAAACTGCAATTTCTATCAATAATTAGTTTAATCAATTATCTTGGAAAAATTATCAATTATTTTGGTCATCATATTATCGTAAACAGTGTATCTATTAAAAATCTGTGATTGATAGTTAAAAGTATTTGATAGTTAAAAGATTGCAAATTGAGAAGAAAGCATTTATGAATATATCATACATTCACATATTTTTTTATCAGTTAAATACTGATAAAATTTTGCTAAACATTCCAAAAATATTTCGTGTAAAGAAAATAAAAAGCTAATCAAAAAAAGAATTATAATAACTCTAGTTTTAAGAATTGCCGCAATTTTTTTTCTAGACAACTCTCCAAATTCCTTACATTCATTTAATATTTAACCCGTAAATGAGTCCCAGTGACTCTAGAAATAACTAAAAATAATAATTTTCTGAAAAAAATAACAACACATATTTATTTAATAAGATTCACAAATTTTATTAATAATTAATTAATAACAATTTTATTGATCATTCATGCGAATACACAATTAATAGGAAATAACAGTCAAAGCTGGATTTTTGACTTAATAATGCTTAAATAATTCGATGTAAATTTATATATATGTATATTATTTATATGTATATTATATATTTCAAATTCTGCCAAACTACGCGCTGATTTTTTGATCTTAAAACGCTATATCAGAGAACTAGTACTTTTACAAATTAAACTGTCTACATTTTAGAAAGATCTTAGTAATGCTGAAGGTCTCGGTGATCTAAAGGCATAGAACGCTCGCATGGAATTGCAAGAGATCCGAGTCTGATCCGAGATAATATTTTTCGCAATAAATTGTTTACAGATTTTAATCAGCATTATTAAGATTTTTCTAAGACGCCTTTAAAAAACGCGTTAAAAAAATTATTAAATTGCAATTTAATTTATGATAATACTACAGTAGTTCTATCAACATAAGCATTTCAAGACTCGAAAAATCAATTCGGCGCGCAGTTTTGCAAAATTACGTAGTATGACTGCATAGTATTCAATGATTACTTTCAGCAGAACACAACAGTTTTCAGCAGAATACGACCGTTGTATGATTGTCTGCTGAGATAGGACTATTCTTCTAGATCTAAAAATATAATTTAATCAGCGCGAAGAAACTTTCAATAGTTATGAAATAAACGTTCTGTTGAATGCAGCCAATAGTTGAATAAGTGCTTGCAGTTGATGTATTCTTCCAGATCTAAAAATCTAATTGATCTAGAAAAATACACCAATAATAGCAAGTGTTCACTCAATTCAAGTAAGATGAATGAAATAAATTTTCATCGAATAATTAAAGATCCAGCTTCGGTCGTTGTGGCTCTATCTCCTATTGATTGTTTATTAATAATTTAATTTGTTTTTCAAATAGTCTTATACAACAGATTTTAAAAATATACATTGACAAACAACTTGAAAAATTCTAAAAAAAAAAAAAAAACTAATAACAAAAAACTTTAATAGGTTCCAAAGACCTGTATGTTTCTTTAGCATCACAAAAAATGTGTTCCTTTACGAGTTAATAAAAAAATAATGTACAACGCTTTTTTTAATCTCGCGGTTAATGATCTGTTAAATTAAATTGTCACGCTTAAAAATGTAAATGTTTATAAACGAATCTTAAGTCACAATCAACACATGTATTAATCAAACACATACATGCAGCGTCGCTTTATCGATTAATTGTTCAATTTTTAATATCGTTGATGCAAAACGATAGATATAGAGATATGATTTCGATTTCATTGATTTAGAAAAATTAAAGTTGTTAAAATAGTCTGTATTTTATAAATATCAAATACACATTCAATAAATGCACAATAATTATAATTTTATTTTAAATTTTATTATTAATTTGTCAAATATACATATTACAAATATATTTATTTAAATACTCTTCAATTATAATAAACGGTATGTTATTAATTTTGTTCTCAATTTAATTTGTTTTCCTGTAAGCAAATGTATGTATTATGTGTGTCGTATTATCGCGACAATACGCGATAATACGCAAATCAAAAAAAAGACTTCTCGAAAGAAAAAAGAAACTTGCCGATCGTTCCTTTCTTCCGCGATTGTTTTACGTCCTTTTTCGGACGAGTGGATCTGAAATGCTGAATGCTGTACGTTTTCTGTGGCTACAGCATGATCATTTTAATGCGACCCTGTTCGTGACAAACAATAATCTCACTGATAAATGACGTAAATATCTAACTAAAGGTCTATTCACATTATTTGTAGTTTTTCAACATTATTTGTAGTTTTTGAACATTTTCGCTTTCTCTCTCCTCAACGCTCGAATATACAGGGCGCATATATTTATTAGGGAGGATTTTTATTATTTCAATTTGATTGTTGTAAGTCTAAAAAATAATCAGCGCAGCCATATACATATTTAAAATATAAATTTATTTAAATACATATAGACATATTTAAATAATTATCTTTAACCGTAAGTGGCACTCCTGTCATACTTAAATCCATTTCTATCGATTAGATTAACTTCAATCTCTTTTAGTTCTAATTTTTTCGAGATTTCTACAATAAGCCATTACTTTAATGAGTCAATTCTAAGCAGAATCGTAACATGTTCTTTGCAAAACTTGTAAGAACTTATTACTAATGTTCTAAGTTTATGCGTATATATCGTAAGACGTACGATTATTCATAAATATCTACGATTTCTTATTAATTTTCATTTATTTTATAGCTAGTAAGAAGCTGTCTGTAAAAATATTGTATAAAGGTAAAGCATTTAAAAATTCTTACAAATCTTACAGGAATATGTTACGAGCTTTACGATTCTGCTTAGAATTTAGGCATTAAATCTTAAGCCACAGGAAACTGATTAATCGTAGTCAAATATGAAAAGAATAAGCGATTGGTTAATTTCTTACGACAGTATTGGCTTATTGTAGAAAGTCCATCAGAATTAGAAAAAGACGAAGAATTAATTGAACCAAAATCAAAATTAAACTGCATTGATAGAAACGAGTATTGGTTAATTTATTCATAAAGCACCTCCAGATGCTATGGCCATATCATATACATACATGACATGCATAATTATTCACATTGAATGTAGTGAATATTTAGAGAATAAGTGCAAAGTTGGCCGTATCATCAAGACCGCCTGTATGGCTAATTCTTATTCTTTTATTATTCTTTATGTTTCCTTTTAAATTTTGCGAGCTTTCAAGCAACAAGAGCAGACTTTATGATGATAGGAAATTTATTCTGATTCAAGCAAACTTGTACACGCACGTGTACACATCCAAAGATCGCTATATTATTCCTTTATGAACGAGGTAATAAGTTTTCGCACGTCTAAAAATAATGCCGTTCATCGCATTAGCTTGGGCTTAGTATCACGCTACGATGACTACATTACCGATTGCTTTGTGTGGCGCTTTGACAACAGCACGCGTGCATCTTACGTGTCCTTGATGAGAAATGAGTGATCGGCGTGACTCTCGCGATGGAAAGAAAACAAAATAAATAAAAATATAACTCGCAGTGCGTAAATATAGCCTTTTCCTTTTATATTTCTTGCCGCTGTTATTTTTATCTCCTTTCCTCTCTCTCTCTCTCTCTCTCTCTCTCTCTCTCTCTCTCTCTCTCTCTAAGGTTGTAAATACAGTTCAGGAACTTTCTAAATTCTTGTGAAATTATATGATCTGTATCTCGGTTGTTTCTGTGATGTATTTTATTTTATACGGATTATTTATACAGTTAATTAACATGATGTTACAGATGTTTTAAAGCATTTTTCAAACGGTCAATTCATAAAATTTATTCTTCCCCAAGCAAAACAATAAGTCATTATGATATCAAAATGATGTCTAAAATGATCATTAAAAATTATTTTTCAATCATTTTCGATTCATTTTAATGTCATTTTGATATTTATCACGACTTGTTCTACTTGGGTCTGATTGATCAATCAAACCATTTGTATTCAAAGTATTTGAGACTGTACTCTATATTTTATATTTTCACTCTTCTGTCAATGCATAATTTTCCACATTTTCGCTATATCATATTTCATATTATATCATACTATATCATATTTCACAAAGTTTCCTTATAATATAAAAATAAAAATAAAGTAAAACCATTCTTTATTATTTGAAAGATGAAATTTTTGAAAGTGTCATATAATGAAATTCGCACTGAAAATATATAAAAGTTTATGCTGTTTAAAATTCAATGTATCTAAAATTTACTGTTTAAAATAACTACTGCATCTACTGCATTGACAGAAGAGTGAAAATTTAAAAGTTTAAATGCACATTCACAGGAGACCTGCAGACAGAAAAAAATATGGAAGATGTGAAACAAATAGGATATCTGTGTTAAAGTAAATGCACAAAGAATCCACAAGTTACTTGATGAAACCATGATTTATCTCATCAACCATATCATATAACAATCATTCCGAATAGCATTGAAATAGATCCTTACCCTCTGCGTAGGATACTGGCCGAACAGATCGGGATGAACAGTAAAGTAAAACGGTCTCAATGCAGTGGATACCTCACCGGTGCTCAGGGCCCTCATCGCGTCCCTCCTGCAAAAGCTGTTAGAAAGAGCTGTCAGTTCCCGGGTGGGCTGCTGTCGTTTACCGCGGAGAAGTAAACGCCAGACTTCAACGAGTAAACTTCAACTTTTAGCTGCTTTTTGCTCTCCGTTACCATCTTCCGAGCGTCGTGCAGTACATTATTCACTCCCTCGCACCCTCCTTCGTCGCCGTCCTGGCAGTTGAATTATTATTGTCGGTGTGTGCTCCTCTCATGTTACGCGGCCGATCACGCAGCGGACGTGAGGCTCGTCACGTCGCGCATCCTCTCTCTCTCTCCCTTTCTGTTCACTTTCGCCTCGCGAGGGATGCGCCTTCCCCTTTCCTCCCCGTTACTCCTTTCTCCAGGAATCTTTCCCACGACGGCGAAATGTTCGACGTTATTTGACGTCAACGACTGGCCGAATCGGTACCATATCCAAATACACACCAGGATGCTCCACTGACATACTGCGATGTGTCCGACGTGCCGTCGACGACGGTCGACGATGATAATATATAAAAACAATGCCCGCTGTGCAACGCCCTCAATGGTGAGCTCCGGAGGCGACTCGAACGGATTACGTTCGTCCTGGGTTGGGAAATCGTCGATAAGTTATATCGGGAACAATGGAGAAATCAGAGATTTACTTGATATTTCTTTTTCAGGATTGTCCTTAATATTTTGGGACATTCCCCGATTACGAAATGAATTAATGTTACTTTAATATCAATAGTATCTTATCTTATAGTCTCTCGAGAGTCTCGTTTTGCTGTGATTGATAATTTTGATATCGTTCGAATATCAAGGCGGATTATCATAATTCATAATAATAATAATAATAATAATAATAATAATAATAATAAGAGTTACGTATATTATATACATGCATATATACTTCTTTTGCTGTAAAACTTCTGGTCGCGCGATTAAAATTTTATATTTATAAAATTATATTAACGAGAATTTAAAAATTATTTAATTTGAAAACACAATTGTTTCTATAATTACACTATCAACTTACCAGGCGCATTATCCCTTTTCTCAATTAATTATTGTTAATTCTTTAAGAAAATTTAATTATTTTATATTCTAGAAATTTTATTTTATTAAATAAATTTTATGTATTAATATGATATTTTATTAAAATATTTTTATTTTATTTAATATTTTATTTAACGAGTATAAAAAAATTAAGAGAGGGTTTTATTTTTTTTATGTCCCCTCCTCTCTTTCTTTCTCTTCCATTTCCTTGTTTAAAAAATGTACATATAAGTACTCTTTTCTCGTGATTCAGATAGGAAATAACAATAGCAATTGTTTTTTATACCTATACTAAATATTTTTTCTCACTTTAATCAAGTATCAAAAACATATATACTTATTTCACTTTAAGTTCCAAAAGTGCACACTAGGTCACTAAAAAAAAACCTCATAATATACATATCTATATACGTATTGTTACGTCAGCGAAATTTGGTTAACCGGACGGTGGATGTGGGTGGATAGAGAATGATAAGAAACAATGCTATCTCCAGCTATCTCACGCGATCATCATCTTGACGATTATCGCCTTGACGCGATTCGGGAATTACCGAATTACCGAGCACCGCCGCTACAGTAGAGTTACCGCGGTCTCGCTCGTAAGGTAAAAATCTCCACGACAGCATACGTTGACAGCTGTGAGAGCTGTGAGCACTGTAGTTTGAACTCATGAGCTGTTCCAGTGGTTCATCTCGGACCGCTAGTGTAAGCATTGTCAATATCTTCCGACTGTTTCTTCCTCGACTCGACTTCCGGACCGCTGCGTGAAAATAAATCGCGACGATCTCGCGTAGCTTGATCGTAAACCTCCGTAGCGGATCTCGACTTTGGTCCACGTGAAAGAGCACCCTGTCGCTTTCCCCTGTCATAATGGTAAGTAATCCGATTTCGTGTGCTCGCAGAATCTCGCCGACGTCCGCAGATTCGTTATCGTCGTGGAACATCAACTTCCGCTTCTAACAACATTCTGTTTTCAGCACGATTTGCACATCGTTGAACACTGTTAAAATTACTCTCTCCTGTAATAACATAGCCTAGTCCATTATTTATGTTGCATTCACGTTGATCAACGTGTGATGTAAATAATGTTACTTACCATGACTCATACGAGTGATATGGAATATGACCCTTCCATATGACTTGTGATTATGAAGGTCTCTATATCAGGGATATGATTGCGATGTCTGTAAGTAATGCCTTCAAGCTACAGTGCTGGGGATACTAAGACTGTTCTTTTCAACTGAATTTCTTGCATGTTTTCCTCTGGAGTAAAAATAAAAAAAAAAGATGAATGGCAAGAAGTCCAGATAGAAAGAACAAGCCTAATGTGTTTTAATAGTTATTACAATTTTCCAGAAGAAACGAGACTTGGCTAACACATTTAGGAATCCATGTGTAATAAATATGTACTGACGTACACTGCGACGTGTGGAAATCCTGTTAGTATCCGTTTGTTTTGTTCGTTGCAAATATATGTCTCGCATGTATCTTTCTGTTTGCAGTGTATTCTTGTTACAGTTAAGGTGACACTTGGTTTTGTCATGCGGAATAGATCAATCAGTATTATCTTTGGGTCCCTTATCTTATGGGCTGTGGCTACATATTTTTTATTTTTGGATCAACAATCAGTCGGCAAGGATCAGGATAAGGTGAGCTTGTTTTAGTATATAGAAAAGTAAGACTGTAATTATTATATACTTGCCTTTAGGAAAAGGACAAACTATCAAATCAAATCAGTAGATTGGAGAAACAAGTAAAACAGCAGATAATTATAAACCAGGAACTTCTAGAAGGAATCAACGAAAGCAAACGTCTTAAAAGTAAGATGAGTTTATATATATATATATATA